AAACAACTGGGAGGAAGCCAGGAACTGAAATCCCTCCCATACACAATCTTAACTGGCACATTATTACACTCCTTACTCCTTACGTACCTTAATGGCCATGTCCTGGAAGTCATGTCCAGTCCAGCTGACCAGATCTCCGAGGCGGAAGATCGGGCAGTACGGATGGTTCTCTCTGTCGTAGGAGCATCTTTTCAGGTATCTGTCGTCAGAAGTTTCAAGGACGTTGGACCTAAGAGGTCAAGACAGCAGACATGATACCCATGTGTGAAGCGTCAGATCTTCAGCAGTTATCAAGTCTTATTTTTCCCACTGAACATTACGTATTGTTGAGTTTGTCCACTGAAAGGGCCACTTTTCCTTCCAAGTTAAAGGGGAAAATCACCAAAGTTGGAGTTATCTGGTTTTTATGTGTGCCGGCAGAAGTGCTGGAGAGACAGAAACAGACTAAGAGACACCTGATCCTGCCAGCTAAGAGTCACAGAATTTTCTAAAGGTTTATATTGGCTTTGACCATTCGACCTTTATCTTAGACACCATTACTGCTTAACCTTAGAAAGCTCTTGCACTGTCTTTTACGAGCTCTTACTTGGAGCACAGTGCCATTTTTCTGACTGAACTCTGACAGCACTTGATTTCTAAGCTTGACTGAATGAGTATTTTTATTTTGCTCAAAGGTTTTCCTCTACACATACACACACACACAAACACACCATTACTCCCTCTGGCTATAAGCAGTGTAACTCTATGTGCCACTGCAAGATGTAGTGTTGTCAGCCATTTCGAGTAACACCCATTAGGAGGGATTTGCATTGCCAGCCAATCCCCATTAGGCATAAGCATATCAAGATTAGCGAGGAAACATAGGAGAGATTGTTGTGTAATTAGAAAAAAGATCCTGACTGATGAATTATCTGTGGCTTGCGGCATCTCTCTTCTTTCTTGCAGGACCTGAACAGGCAACGGCAGAAAGGGCAGCGGCACAGCTCCCTGGGCTAGCCCCATCTGATCTGACACCTGTCCAGGGCATGGCCTGCTGTCAAGGACGTCTCAGATGACTGTTTCACTGTCTCGCTGAGTGCAATACACAGGCTGGTATAAATAGAAGGCTCTCTGCACCCTAAAGCTATTTGGAGCAGCCACTGGAACACGTATGTCCCTCAGCTCACTCAGGGAGCTATGTGACGATGCCATGAAAGTATAGACACCCCAGCAATCAGCACCACTTACGGCCACTTACTTGGAGAATTCAAACTTTGGAAACCTGATGAAATTCTTGATGTAGATGGTGAAGTTTTCTGCTTCACTCAGTAAGGGCTCTCTAGAAATGAAAGAGACAGGCAGCCGTGTGAAAAAAAACAAAAACAAAACAAGTGGAGCTGACAGGCTACATTAGTAATAAATAGAACCTGTGAAATATCTCGGCCCCTGTGAGGGATCAGAGCGAGTGTCAGTGTAGTGGCACAAAATGGCAAATTTCCAAAGTTCTGCAAGAGAGGAAGGGTCTCACGTGGGTCTCTTGTTGTATTCAACAGGACACCAGGCATGAATCTCACAGGTCCCAGTGCTGTTTAAACACAACCCGGTCTTGATTCCTAACAGAGAGAGCAAAGATTCTTGGCTGGGTGGAACTTAAAGAGAGTTTATTCCAAAAAAAGACAACTTGGATTACTACTCTTTACTTTTAAATGATAAATTAGTCATTTACATGTAATAACTTTGTGATCGCACAGAGTTTTAATGGCCAGACCATGATATTAGTGATTAATGTGGTCTATGTGGAAAATACTGATTAAATTTGAACCAAGACAGTATATAAGTAAGACTACACTTGTAAAATGAGATGCAACTATTCTTTTTTCATCACACAGAATATAGTGCAGATCATCGGTGACTAATGTGAAAGATCTCAAATGTAAATCTGTAATTGAGGCTGAAAACTGTTCAGATTTTGACTTGCAACATTTTGACTACAATGCTATGAATGATACTCACCATGGCCAGCTATTACACTCTCCCCCATCATGCAGTCATCGTCACTTTGACATCGTCCATTTAGCACCTTGAAACTCTGTGAAATAGAATGAACGCTGCTGGACATGAAAATGCAATTCTGTGGACATTTGAAATCTGGCACAGTGTAACTTCCAGTCATTTCAGATATTAAGCTGTAGAGAAACAAAAACCCACAATTAAATGTGTTAATAATGAGCTTCATAGTATACTCACCTCAGCACAGAGCCGCAGCCTCTGATTGGGGGTCTCTATGTAATTTGTTACTATGAAGAACACCTGCTCGCCCTACAAAATAAAATTAGGTCCAGACAGTGTGGAGATGCAAAAAGGTTAAACAAATTACACACCAAGAAGTTCAATATTGTTGAATCTGTTGAGGCAGATGCCCAAGCTAATTATATCCACCAGCAGACACTCAGTAGCCTGATAATCTCTCTGGACAGGAACGTTACTAGGGAGTGCTTCAACATCAACACTGGTGTTCTCATTTCTTTTTTCTTTATTTTATCTAATTTAATTTTTATTGTAGATGAGACTGACTGACTCACATTAGGGGGTATGACGTAATCCTCAGCACTCCACAGGTGAAGCCCTGTCTCAGAGCTGTTGGTCAGTGTAACGCCTTTAAGCTTGGTGATGACAGAGGTCTGGATGGCCTCTTCTCTCTCCTGGTAACCTTTCTTCACCACAAACACCCATCTGAGACATTCATCCAAATGAAGTTATGTTTTAGAGGCTTAGGCTGACTGAGTTTAACAGGACCTCGATAGCATTTTGGCCTTTTTGGTGTGACGCAACAGTACAGCATTTGTGATCTCTTGTATAGCAGCCTGTTTGTGACCATGTGGTCCGGTTGGCAGCACATTCATTACAACTGCCATGAAGTGTGTTCACCTGCACGTGGCAGGAGTAAGGAGTAATGTTATTGTGTAAATATATCCTAGACCACAGCATAGAATATGTTTTGTATCTCCACTGGAACTATATTGAAGTATTTTGGAAGTATTTTGCAAATACACATGCATCTGCAGGTGACTGCAGCATCTACATCACAAAGTCTCAGACATGACATGGCGTTAAAATCAGTGCACATGAGCGTGGCTCTCTCAGCCGCAGTGCATGCCATATAGAGCCAAATATGATTTTGTAACCACCCTGTACCAGCCACCATGCAGTCGTTACATATTTCATCTTACAGTTGGCAATAACTTTCACAAACAATCAAGTTTTAAAGGTCGACCCAGATAACCCAGTCACCTGCTCAGCTCTCATCATTTCTCTTATCAGCGTGACATCACAGAGTGAGGGGTAGGATAGGATAACTTCCTGTCTCTACAGCAATTTCAGGCATTAATGAATTCACCATCACAAACAAAATTTCTGGGACACAAAACCATATTTTAAAAACGAGGAAGAACAACAGAAACAAAGTCTACACTTTGACAAACTCAACTATTTTTAACTTTCTGAGTCACTTTCTAAAATGTTACTTTATTCCATGCACCTCACCCGATTATGTATCCCAGCACGGCCAGCTGATAGAGCCTAAATAATATTCCGATTTTCCTGTTTTCGGCGATGACATATTTCTCTGTCTTGTAGTTGAGGAGAGAAACGAAGAAGCCTCCCCAGCCTGCCATTCCTCCCGCACGGTGAACCCGAGTGTGACAGCAGCTCCCAGGCTCCCAGCTGATATATACAACTGCTTCACTTGTCATGCGACGGGCAAACCCACCGAGAGAGGAGCTGCAAGACACCATCAACCTTTGCTCTAAAAGACCACTGCGAGACATCTGGAGAAAATGTTAATATTACGCTTGGTTTCATATCAAATCCATTTTCACAGACAGCAATTTGGAAGCTTCACAAAACCTTGTGGAGCAAAGTTACAGTGGTAATGATAAATAACTCCTGCCCATATAGGCCTACTCCAAAAAAAACCTTGTGGAGCAAAGTTACAGTGGTAATGATAAATAACTCCTGCCCATATAGGCCTACTCCACGTTGAATTTATAGTGGGCCTCAATACTTTGGCTAATATTTCTGTACAATTCCGAATATGTGCTAAGCCACTCTAAAAATAAGGTTACCGCAATTATATTTTCATTATGGAAACAAACAATGTAGACTATGTTATAATGTACACTTTGTCATGTTTGCGGGCTACAAGTAGCTCTAAAAACAATATTTTAATAATTAACAAAAATCTGCTTTAAAGGGGGGCTTTTTAACAACAAGTCACTTTAAAGCGCATATTGGTGGAAATGGAAACGTGTAACTGCAACTTGAAGGGTTCAGAGGGCACAATGGGACAACTACCAGTAAACTAGCGCCCTCTAGTGGTTCCATGTGGCATTTCACTCTATTAAATAGCTTATGAAAACGGTAACATTTGAATTCCTGTTAGATTTGATTTAATGCTATAGTGCTTTTCAAAGTCCAGACAACTGGGGTTATGTGGGTTGAACATGTGATGATCAGAGACCCTTGAACCATAAAGTTTCCCTTTTGCCAGGATGTGATATGACATGAAACTGATCAATGGTAATACTGCACTTTCTAGGTTGTTACAAAGACCAAAGAATTCAGTAGATAACTTTCAGTAAACAGTTACAGGAAAAGTACTTACCCTCACCCAGTACTTTTCAAAGCATTAAGAAGTCACAACTACTGACTTTTCACAAGTAACTGACTAGCAAAATTTTGTACACTGCAGAATCTGAAATTGTTTGTCAATTATGAAATAAGTGGAATGATATAAGTATGTGTTATTAACACCTTTGAGATTCTAGTTTACTGTATGAATCTAAACAAAGCCATTTAAATCCACTTTCCAACATTGTCCTTTTTGAATTTATAATCAGGACACTACCATAATGCAGAATAAACCAGGATGTGTAATGGTAACTGTATTTTTAACAGGGCAACCCATTTTCTTACAGCGTTCATATTATATATGAAAACAAACACCATATAATTTCATCTCATCTTTTATTGGGTTAGGTTGGCATTTTAATTGAGAAAAAGCATGGAATAATTTATTGACCGCCCCTCAGACGCAGGACAAGATGGAGGGTGGATTCCTTCTGGATATTGTAGTCGGAGAGGGTGCGGCCATCTTCCAGCTGCTTGCCGGCAAAGATCAGCCTCTGCTGGTCTGGGGGAATGCCTTCCTTGTCCTGGATTTTAGCCTTGACATTCTCAATGGTGTCGCTGGGCTCGACCTCCAGGGTGATGGTCTTGCCGGTGAGGGTCTTGACGAAGATCTGCATCCCGCCCCTCAGACGCAGGACAAGATGGAGGGTGGATTCCTTCTGGATATTGTAGTCGGAGAGGGTGCGGCCATCTTCCAGCTGCTTCCCGGCAAAGATCAGCCTCTGCTGGTCTGGGGGAATGCCTTCCTTGTCCTGGATTTTAGCCTTGACATTCTCAATGGTGTCGCTGGGCTCAACCTCCAGGGTGATGGTCTTGCCGGTGAGGGTCTTGACGAAGATCTGCATCCCGCCCCTCAGACGCAGGACAAGATGGAGGGTGGATTCCTTCTGGATATTGTAGTCGGAGAGGGTGCGGCCATCTTCCAGCTGCTTGCCGGCAAAGATCAGCCTCTGCTGGTCAGGGGGAATGCCTTCCTTGTCCTGGATTTTAGCCTTGACATTCTCAATGGTGTCGCTGGGCTCAACCTCCAGGGTGATGGTCTTGCCAGTGAGTGTTTTCACAAAGATCTGCATGTTTGCGCCTGTGAAAATAAATTAAGATTAGACATTATTAATACCGTTTAATGAAATATGGCCTACGACAAAAATGTACTTTTATGCTTCACAGATAGATCCTGAGTGTGTGACATAAATTTGATCAGCCTACTATGAAATAGTGCCTTGGTAATTTTAAATACGTCCACATTTGAATGTACGGCCATTAAGCTGCTGACTTCGTCCTTTGAGAGGTATACAGTAATTGTTAAATCACTTAATACATGTTTAATAGGCCTATATACAGCCGCCATTACTTCTAATTTTATCTTGCCACGAGTGATAAAAATGAGCTAAGGCAAAACTTACTGTACCACATGAACATACTAGTAGGAAGCCGGTGATTCGAGCACCAGCGCCATTTTAAAATAAGCTACTGTTTGCCTTTGTTTTGTTCAGCTAACGATAACCTACCCGCTAATGGACGATACAGCTAGACATGATGTAACGTTACCATTGTTAACGTTAGCAAATGCCTTTGACGTTATCGTTAAACCTAGAACGTTATTCATATCGTAACATTAACCACAGGTTCACGTTAACCAAGATATAATTATTCATTTAACAAACGTTTTTTAGGTTGCTACCGTTACCTAACGTTAGCTTTTACTGTCACTATTTACGAAACGGTTAGCTGCTAAAAATGAACAATAGTTAAAATCTATGAAAGCTGTAATTTGGTGGAAGAACTGCACCCGAACTTGAAATATTACTTGTAAGTTGCCTTTTTTTTCATTTAGTCAAACCAACGCTTTTACTTACAAGTTGTTTCAGTATGTTCCCCTGTTATAGCCCCGCTGTTACACCTTCCTCTGACTGTACAGGTGCTGAGGAGACAGGCGTATTTATACCGGGGACACGTCATCGACCCATATTCATCCGCAGACGAAAATAGCCCCCATTTCTAGCGTAAAATTCATGGTTTAAACATTAAGTTTAATTTGGGTACATTTGGCCTTATTATACATATGAAACTATACGAACAATTGCTTACAAAATAAACAATAACTTTGGAATTACTTTGCAAAACAAAAACATTGGGTGATTGCTGCTTGTAATGTAGGCAAACAATGGGGAACGTGAATGCCACTGATGATTTACCAAGGTGACAACTTACCTAGGTGAAGGGACCATGTGTAAATATATTTTATATATATTGCAATACAAACATTAGATTAAAACTACACATAGGTATTACAATTATTTAATCATTCTGCAAGCTTATTCTTCAGTATAGCCCAAGGGAAACTGAACATTTCTGATGCTGCTTCACAATTTACTTATTTAGGGTAAACAAAATGATTGTCTTAACTGCCTGACACATGACTGATATGCAGTCAATCACGTGTCATGCAGTTAAAACAATAAAGACACCAGTGACATGTGAACAAGACATGCCCACATCCTAGGAAATGTGTCTGTTTAAAAACAACAGGATTGTCCGTCTGTCTGTCTGTTTTGTAGGACAGTTGAAACTATGTTGGAGAGTCGGGGCTTAACAGGTCAAGTGCCTGTTACTTATTGAGCAATCATCCAAAGATTATAGGATAGGCCTACATAATTTGCTACTTTTTTATTTGCCATTTGAACTGCTTTCTGAATATAGCTTCTCTGTGAAATACTTTAATAAGTAGCATGTTTTATGAATCATACATTTTCCTGTTTGTGATGCACAAACAGGAAGCAGATTGTCACATCAGGAGTGCTATGAGATAAATGCATTTTGCAGGATCAACGGCTGACACCAGATTATCCAGATAACAGTGCTGAACTGCTGAGTTTTGGATTAGATGGTAAATACCGCAGCACAATCCTGGCGCTCTCCATAATCCACACCACTTTCCTTACTGGAGACTATGGTGTCGTCCCTAACCTTAGCCTTTCTTGTGGGTTCAATTGTAGGTAAAATTCTTAATGCTTGAGGGCCACATGTATATCTGAGTTGTCACTATATGCACAAAGATCATCACAGATTTATCTCATTCATATATTAGGCTGCACTTTGAAAAACAAACATTTATTGGTTCTCAGTGATGTCTTGATGTTTACCTGACCTTTCACACCTAATAGGCAGGAAATAGGTCAAATACAGTATGTTTGTACAGAAATCAGATATGAATATGCTGCACATTTTATGCCTCAATAATACAAAAATGTTTGCCCTTTCGTGTTGTGGAACACACAAGCACACAGTTAGCTGCTCCCGGTTAGGACAAAAAAAGCCCTTTAAACTCAATCACATTTCCCTATATTCATACGCTGAAAACATTTTCTGTTTTATTAAAGACCTCTGTTGCTTTTATTCCATTTTCCCCCAGTAAAAGAGTTTTTCTGGGGGGAGTTTTTCCTTATCTGAATCGAGGGTCTAAGGAAAAGGGGTGTTGTATGATGTCAAGACGGTAAGGCCAATTTGGGATTTCTGATAATGTCCTATATTTTTTAAAAATGACTTAAAGTAGTGTCTGTTCTAGATAATTTGCATGTGCCTAGACCAAATATTTGATATTGTTGCCAAATAATAATGGCCTCTTGCCTCTTTCTATTGACATCATACTTTGCCTTAGAATGCCAAAGCTCTTGTACCATCTATAGAACACGTTGTATGTCCTCTTAATTTTATTTTAGTATATTTCCTCCTCCCCGTTGGTCACTGAATCTCATTTTTAGACACACTGGCTAAGATCCCCATTTCTGGTTTGTCCCCGTCATCTTTTCTCCATGGCACATGTTAACCTCTTGTTTGGCAATAGATGGCGCCACATCTCCATTAAGAGAAAGTCCTTCTTCTACCTTTCCAAGTGTTCTCAGACACTGACCTCCAAACCCGTTGCAGAAGGAATCATTCACTGTGTAGGAGACTGGTTGTTTTAAATAACCCATTATGTATCCACATCTAAAGTGTACAAACCTACATGCATGTACACCTCATCAAAATCTTACTATTTTTGGGCAATTACTATCTACTTGGATATATTTTTCATGGAAACTCCTTTAGTAATATAATAGTAATTTTCTGGTTTGATTACCTTTCTATACATCATGCTTCTCATATGTCACACAACTAAAGCCATGTTTTGATGGTAGAAATGACATCCAGAATTGTACAGTATACTGAGCAGACTATGGGCAGTAAAATATTTGATCAGATGTTGTTCAAGGCCACCATGTTCTCTAGACTTATTTGCAAACACTAAGAAGAAATTAAGTGTCACTACTTTCACATAGAACCAACTGAACACTATTACTCATTTTAGCTTACTAAGATCAATCAAGAGGTCATTGCCTTGTTCATGTTAATACTCCCAACGGGTCATGAGCATTGTCTCAAACCCGCCAGGCAAGCCTCATTCTGCAGGTTCCCTTGCTGCCATTTAGCAGTATTAACATCTGCTTTATGTTACAGTTGATACCATGTGTACCTACTGTATTATTTTAACTACATCATTCTCATTTAAAGGAAAGAAGACAATCCCCTGAAGTTCAATTTTGACTGCTACATTCTTACTATATGCAAGACGATGGTTAACATAATTGCTTATTACCATTTCTACATGTGTAGACAGCTTGCATACTGTTGATATTATGGATCTCATTTTAACAAAGAACACACAAGTTTAAGCTTAATCTCCTTTATTGATGTGCATCACACTTTTGGTCATGTTAAGGTTGACAACTTTGTCATGTGTAACATTTTTACTACAGCATATATAACCTAGCACGTTAACTTGAAGGAAATATGGTTAACATGGAATCATTAATACTTTGATCACTTTTACTGCCCGCCCCTCAGACGCAGGACAAGATGGAGGGTGGATTCCTTCTGGATATTGTAGTCGGAGAGGGTGCGGCCATCTTCCAGCTGCTTCCCGGCAAAGATCAGCCTCTGCTGGTCTGGGGGAATGCCTTCCTTGTCCTGGATCTTGGCCTTGACATTCTCAATGGTGTCGCTGGGCTCGACCTCCAGGGTGATGGTCTTGCCGGTGAGGGTCTTGACGAAGATCTGCATCCCGCCCCTCAGACGCAGGACAAGATGGAGGGTGGATTCCTTCTGGATATTGTAGTCGGAGAGGGTGCGGCCATCTTCCAGCTGCTTCCCGGCAAAGATCAGCCTCTGCTGGTCTGGGGGAATGCCTTCCTTGTCCTGGATTTTAGCCTTGACATTCTCAATGGTGTCGCTGGGCTCGACCTCCAGGGTGATGGTCTTGCCGGTGAGGGTCTTGACGAAGATCTGCATCCCGCCCCTCAGACGCAGGACAAGATGGAGGGTGGATTCCTTCTGGATATTGTAGTCGGAGAGGGTGCGGCCATCTTCCAGCTGCTTGCCGGCAAAGATCAGCCTCTGCTGGTCTGGGGGAATGCCTTCCTTGTCCTGGATTTTAGCCTTGACATTCTCAATGGTGTCGCTGGGCTCGACCTCCAGGGTGATGGTCTTGCCGGTGAGGGTCTTGACGAAGATCTGCATCCCGCCCCTCAGACGCAGGACAAGATGGAGGGTGGATTCCTTCTGGATATTGTAGTCGGAGAGGGTGCGGCCATCTTCCAGCTGCTTGCCGGCAAAGATCAGCCTCTGCTGGTCTGGGGGAATGCCTTCCTTGTCCTGGATTTTAGCCTTGACATTCTCAATGGTGTCGCTGGGCTCGACCTCCAGGGTGATGGTCTTGCCGGTGAGGGTCTTGACGAAGATCTGCATCCCGCCCCTCAGACGCAGGACAAGATGGAGGGTGGATTCCTTCTGGATATTGTAGTCTGAGAGGGTGCGGCCATCTTCCAGCTGCTTGCCGGCAAAGATCAGCCTCTGCTGGTCTGGGGGAATGCCTTCCTTGTCCTGGATTTTAGCCTTGACATTCTCAATAGTGTCGCTGGGCTCGACCTCCAGGGTGATGGTCTTGCCGGTGAGGGTCTTGACGAAGATCTGCATGTTTGAACCTATGTAGAATAGAGACGTCAAATCAGTCAATTAAAAAGATATAAGGTTTACACAAGTACATCAATTTTAGTATTATATTAAGATCTAATAAGTGTCATTGTTTGAACTAAACATCCTATTAAATGTGAGTATGTTAATGTAAAGCTCTGAGCTGAGCAGCCATTCCAGCCCGAGCGCCATTTTGAGATCATATTGACCTTCCTTTTGTTCAGCTAACATTACCCGCTAACGGACGATACTGGAAGTGTTGAGTCATTGCTATAGCTAGCATTAGCTAACCACTGCTGCGTTACTGCTTCGTCGAAGTCGACAACGGATTAACGCTGAAACTCCTAATCATGATGTGTAACGTTATAGCCAATGTAGTTTTACTTTAAGGTTTAACGTTAGTTTGACGTCGTAACGTTGTTATCTTCAGCTAGACTGTAACGTTAAAACCTTGGTATGGCCACCAAACAAACGACTAAAACATCTACTGTATAAAAAGTTAAACATAAAATAATACAGTTTCAAACAAGAGAAAAGTTTTACTTACTAATGAGGAAACGCCGCAAATATTTTTAATTGCGCTTACACGAGATCTACTCTTCCAGGTTTCTGCTGAAGAACTAACTGCGGCACGGACAAACACCGCATTATATACTTGAGTCTTCATACGTCATCTGTCAATATCCGTCCGCATTTGAAAGTAGTTCCCTCTGATTTGATGCGCACTATTTTAATGTATAGTATTAATTTGTACAGTATAACTGTATTTAATAATCATACGTTTAGGCATAAACGTAAATGATTAGTCAAAAATGTTATGCTTGAAAATTATATTTTGACATATCCGTGCGGCGGATTAATATCTCTCCGGTTCCAGAATTTGCTAGAACAGCCATAGCAACTGGATACTTCTCCAAGCTTCTGATTGGTCTGTACAAGTGTTTATTTGGCCAGTGATTGGTTGCCGTGTAACAGTTAGGAATGTTTGATGACGAAGTTACCGTACATTCATTAAGAGAACACCGACATATTCAAAAATTATACAAGACCTAAACAGACCAAGCTATGTCTAATTCTTCGTTATGGATGTGGACTTTTTCCCCAATCCCCCTCACTATACAAAATACAGCATATCACATCCATTATATTTCTTCATATGCGTTTATGTGACACGCTAGAGGGACGTGTACAGACAGAAACTCTGTTGACAGATGGAAACGTGCTTGGTAAACTTGTGCGACCAGCTGGTGTGACAGCAGGATAAAGTATTTGAGGCCATGAGGCAGAGAACTGACCTCTTTATTCTATTCATTGGCAGTCCATATGAACATCAGGTTTATTCAAGAATACATTCATAATTTATAGACATTTGATTTGATTAGCAGAATTTGCTGATACTAGTTATCTGGCAAACACATATTACAGTCATGACCACAGGCTGTATGTTCATGACCTCAATACTGAAACAAGTGGTGTATGGGACTCAACCATATTTGGTTGGCCCAAGGATACACGTTTTCTTTTTTAGAGTAGCGTTACCTCAAGTGTTCTGCCAGATGTCATTTGTGCTTTTTTAAATCTAGTTGTCTTCTACCCTTGTAGGCATTGTTATTTTTGCAATGTAGTAGAATTACTACATCAGTTTATGGGATAAAATGTAGCTGTTCGTTTCAGATTTTTTTCTATCTTCCTTATTAATTCCATGAGTAATTTATACCAAGGCATAATCTTAATGTATTATCATTGCATTGTCAAAGTCACAGGACACAGGAAAGGGCTTGATCTTGTTACCATGAGAATAAGTCTAAATATGCCTGGCATGAAGTCAACGCCCAGGTGACACTGGAAAATTCCCACAGGTTAAACACCGATTAAAGATTCTATGAAATAACAGAGTTTATATCTGAAGTCAGTCTGACAAGAATTTTCATTGGGTACAGTGAGTTTTTGTATATATGTTATGTATCCCTGGAGTTAAGTGAGCCAGCTGATTAAACATACTAATATTGGAGATTTAGGTCAATGGTCTCCAAAGTTGGTTAGCCTTTTAGAGACAACTGTAGCACTGTAAACTAAATTAAATCAGTAAGTTAGATCAAAGTGTAAAAGCTCAGATGGGGAGATGGGGGTCTGTAGCCTATTGGGATTCTATTTTTGGGGCATAGATATGATACAGTTGGGACAGTCCTAATATATGTATTTGGGTCACAACATTCCCTTACCCCACCCCTCCAGCACCATGTCATATGACACCCAGCCCGTGATGCACCACGTCAGTGCTTTCCAGCACAGAGCTGGGCTTCTGGCTGAACTAGTTCATCCTCTGAGGAATGTGTTTGTGCAAGTCTGCTGTACTTTGCCCTGCCCCTTGCTTGGAATAATTATCGACTGTCCCAGAGGGTTCGAAGAAAAACAATTTTTTAAGGCAGGACAAAGGCCTAGCAAAGTACTGTGGAAGCCGATACTATTACATGAAATAAAAGTGTCCACAGCTCGGGACAACAATCTTGATGTTGGCTTTTCTTGGAGGTACCCACCTTTGAATTTAACATATTCAATGACCATATCAATAGCTGTGAATGGGTCAGAAGCGTAAATAGCAGAGAGGCTTTTAATGTAAATGCAGCACTTATCAGTGATGGACTATGAATAGGGTCATTGTGTTTTCTTCAGCAGGGCGATTGGAACTGTTTTGGGTGAGGCATCCAGTTCCACGTCAACAGGTTTTGCAACCAACACGTCACACGAGTTTCACCAGACTTAAGTTCATTCATCCTGTCTTCTGAAGTAAGGCTTACCATCACAGAATACTCAAATATGAACATATGTATTCATCTTGATGGTTTGTTGTTTCCTTTTTAACTACAGAATGGATTGTGTGAAACATACAGGCGGCTGCCACTGTGGAGCTGTTAGATTTGAAGTCTTGAGTTCCCCAGACCTCCATGTTTTCCAATGCAAGTACGGATTTTACATTCAATCATATTGTCACATTATCTTATATAATAAATGCTGGTATTACAAAGAAAACAAGACAATCTTCATTCTGGCACAGAAGCTGTGTTTTTAAGTTTGAGTAAAAAATTAAATATAGTCATACCAAAGTGATCATCATATTAAAGACAATGTTTTGTTGCTTGTACAGAAAATCAATATAAAGTGACTTATGTTTGTTTCTCTAGCTGTAGCATTTGCACAAAGAAACAAAACCATCATTTCATTGTTCCAAAAAGTCACTTCACACTCTTACAGGTAGGAAACTCAAGCAAAAAATATGATACAATTTAACTTTAAAAAATCACAAGAGCCTTTTAAGTGAATGTTTTTGTTTTTCTTTCTTTCCAGGGGTCAGATAATCTGACCACATACACGTTTAACACTCATGTTGCTAAACATACCTTCTGTAAAACCTGTGGAGTTCAAAGTTTCTACACTCCACGCTCCAACCCTGATGGATATGGTATGACCCTCTAACAGCTGACACAAGACAGTCACAACACTCTCATGTGTTGTAAACTCATTTTAGCATCCTCCTGCTGTGCTTAATACAGTCTTACCCTGTTGTGTTTATTCCAAAACTAACCAACCCAGTGTGCTCTTTAATGCCCTATAAAAAAAGACAGAAAAGTGATGTTCATAATGGCAGATACATGTTGGATAACAGTGATATTATCTTTTGCATTAGTAAACCAGTAAAGCCAAGTAGTCAGTAAAATGTGCAGCAGACAATGGGCTGTTTTGTTCAAATGCAAGTGAATGAGCTCTCCTGTGTTGCTGTTCTCCCCAGGTGTTGCTCCACACTGTCTGGATGCAGGTACTGTCCGCAGTGTGACAGTGGAGAATTTTTGTGGGGACAAGTGGGAAGAAAGCATGCAAGCTCACCCAAGCATCAGAGACATGTCTAAACCTGCAGCAGAAACACAGCTGAGAGAAACAAAATAACAGTGATACAATAATCAAACTCTTTTTTTTTTTAAATCAGCAGTATACCAGAAATACTGTACTTTCAACAATCTTTGAAATTATACAATGAAAGAAATAAGCTCCTCAACTGATTCAACTTGCTTTCATACAGTGTACTGATTCAAAACAAAAACTTGTGCAGCAAAAAGCCATAAGACGTTTCTGTTAGTGTTATTTCAAAATTAGGGTCAGCTTTATTTATGGAAAGTGCTTACAAAAATGATGCAGGCTACTTTAGCCAACAAAGTGTTGAAGAAATCTTTATTCACTGTGAGCGAAACAGCATATTACATTTGTAAACAGCCTCTAAATTCACTCCCACCACAGTATTCGAGTAGTTACGCAGTGGGACAGAGTAACAATCAGTGCATCTGGATCTGAATGAGATAAACCTAATAGATCTTCAGGTTCTTTGGTCCTTGTGGGATCATTTGGAATGTGTTCACGAACATGTACCGAGAGAAGGCGATGTAGAGGTAACGAAACCAAAGGAGCTGAGTGCGATGACAAAACATGGCCTCCTGAAAGAAAAGAGGTTTGTTTGAGAGGTTAAATAACCCATAACCTTCTTATATACAGTCTATGCCCATAACATAATATTGTGAGTTCTCAATTTATTAACAGCCAATATTGGTAAAAATCTGCTGCTGAGTACACATTTACTTCTTTATTTCTTTATATCATACTAGTACGATGAGACATTTCTATCCTCACATTCTTCTTATTACAAACCTTATCTTCACTATTGCTTCTTCAGCCCATGTACTCTATACAGCCTTGTTACAATGTGCTAAAAACACCTGTGCCCTGTAATAATAGGAAGTGACACGTGCCAACAATCTGGCTATTCTGAAGCTTACTTTGGCTTGACTGTAGCCCTGTGAGCCTATAATACAGCGGAGACATGAGGGCAGCAGCCAGCTGAGGGGAAGGTCCAGGAAGGAGAGGTATTTCCTGAAGAGGCCGACAGTCACAAGGGAGAGCAAACAGCAGTCTGGGAGAACAGACAGAGACAGAGTTAGCTGTTTATATGTTAAACACTCGCTACAGCAGCAGGCAGTAAGTTAGGCCATTCTCTCAGTTTTTTTACTGTGGGGCAACCTCATGTCAGTAACATTTAACACTGGGATACAATGCTCCTTTTTAACACTTCGCCTGTTCCTCCTGTGCAGGATATGTGTAGGTTTTGTGAATTAAGAATATGAGTATGACTGGCACTACTGCATGGGCGTTGAAGTGCTTATGTGACATATTAGTATTGTCAAGAAATCATAGAAAAATTTAACAACAAGAATTTCACATCATGTTAGAGAGCTGTAACCCGTGACATGCAGCAGGGCTTTGTGGGGCATGAGAGGGTTAAAGCAGCTGGTAGTCTCACTGTACAGCCAAGTGAAGAGGCTTATTACAATCACGTTGGGCCACATTCTCCCCCGCCTCCCCAAAAAGCCACTCACTAAGACCAGTCAAGCGGGTGAGTTGTACATTACTGGTAATAAATTGCCGTAAGGCATGATTAATGACACACATGCTGTTTTTAAGATTGTATGCATAAAGTATATGTTTCCTGACTCTCAGGGCTGAGATGATAGTGTCTTTCTGCCATTTACCAGCAAAGTGCGACACGGAGATATCATGGGCCTGCTATGCTTGTTTCTTATCATTCTGCCTACTCAATCATTAATGTGGGTGTGCTCTGTGGGCCTTAGTGTTTACCAAACTAGAAAGGTGTTTAGCTCTAAGCCTGTTGTAACATGTCGCCCCATCTCTGTCCTACTTTTGCTTTCACATTCTGTTAAAGAAATGAGTATCATCATAAGACCTTTCAGAAGCGACCCACAGTAGAATTGTTGTCTGTCTGGGTTGAAAATAAAAGACAAATTGGCATTACTTTTGATTATGGATGTTAACATCTGCTAACAACACAGAGACTGAAACTTTGAACATCTGGAATTACTGAATCACATGTAGTTTGTGGGCACAAACAAGCATTTGTAATGCATCTGGTGTTTTTGATATCCAGCTGTCCTCATGCTGCCACCAGCAGACCAAAATGGCGACACGTGACTCATGAATCCATTATGAACAGAAGAGGGCGCTGTACTTTAACAAAATACAAAAGACAGACTGGAGAGGTGGTACCTCTCATGTGGGGAAGTCATTTCTGTATCTCTAATTTAAAGTGTTTAATCATGAATACAGCTTTTGTTTGGGCGTGTGTACTCATTGTCATCGTACTTGGGATTAAGTTTTATCGCAAAACTCACCACTGGGTACTTGTCCAGTGTAAGCGAGATGGCTGCAAGTGGAGAAAAGAACAATGTTAGCCACTGAAAATGGGAAGGATGTGAACATTGTTGTCAAAGACGTGATGCACCTTACTGACAGGGTTTGTGTTGGCAACCTCTACAAAATATGGTCACAGTGTGATCCACTATGTAACTGAGATAAGAGTTTTTGTTACGCTGATTACAACACAAATAGGTAAGAGGTCAGTGACTGCAATGCCGCAGACAAAGCCACGCAGTGCTGCAGCCAAGCTACTGCTAAATGTCTGCCATTATGTGTGTTTCAGGTCATGTTGTAGTGAGTGCTGTAAGCTTTTTTTAGTAGCAAAAAATGATTCTCCATTTTGTATTCTACTGTTATATACACTGCATTTCCATATGCAATAGCTGTTAACATGTTGACAAAAACAAAACCCCACAACAAACTATTAAGATTTAGAGCTACGTGAAAATAGTGCACACCCCCTCTGGGTTCCAGCCTAATGGGAATCATGAGATGTGATTGGGAGAGCTCACGTGTCTCAACAGACGAGGCTCACAGATTGACAGAGAGCCATATACTGTAGGTGGAATATGGGGACAGCAAAAAAACACTTCACAGTGCAAAACACATTTTTTTTAAACCAACAGTCTGATGCAACTTGTTTGGTTGGACTCTCAAAACCAGAGCTGCCCTCCCACCTCACCACTTCAGGGACAGGATTTACTGCTGCTCTCTGGGAGCAAAGCTGAGTGCCTCTGAGAGGCAGAGAGGACTCTGTTTGGATGACCTCTCAGCTATGTAACAGACCAATTCTGAAAAACGTGTGTGTGCGCGCGTGCGTCTTTGTGGGGAAACATTTGGAAAGATGGATGTTAATGCGAGTCTAAATGTTCTGCATTTTCCTGGACAGTGTTTTATGGTTGTGGAGTGAGATGGTCACATAATATCCCAGAGGATAGGATCTTTAGGTTGAGGGATTGAAAAAAAAATCTGAAGACAAAGCCTTAACTCAGTACCTGACAGCTTTATGGATGGCTACGTGATTGGCATGGCCGCTTACTCCGCTTCCATCGAAGGTCAACACCTGAAACAACAAAATATCTCAATGTGTGGGTGAAAAGCCAGAATCTGGTTATCTAAAAGTGAATTCAAAGGCAATAACACAGGTAGAGCTTTTTCTTGGGTTAGTAGAAGGGCATCTGTGTCTGACTGTGGAACTGCTTGGCAGCTGACAACTGATATTTAAATGCCTTTTTCTTTGTGCATGCTTGCACACCAGAGGAAGCAAGTGAAAAAAAATCAGGTCAAAGGGAAAGAAAAAGTGCTTGACTAAAGACTTGGCATTTGTTTTGCTGAGGTGTATTCTACCATGACAATGTCTTTACAATCAAGCACAAGTTTAAGCTCCCAACCACCACATATTGTAAGTAACTGTGAATCTCTTTCTTCCCTCTTTCTGGCTTATAAATAAGAAATCAAGGGAATGACATGATGTCAGATCAAGGAAACATTATTATCCAGTTTAAGAGCAGGAAAAGTGAACGAGAAGACATGAATCTCTAGCCTACTTTTTGGCCTGGAGGCATTTTTTGCTGCTGACAGGATGGGAGGAGACTGTGTGTTTGTTTGTCATCTTTGATAAGAAAAAGAGATCAGAAACTACAGGTTAGAAGAACCCTGATGTGTAATCTTCTTCTGTAAAGAACTGTGGGGCTTTTTGCATCTGCTGCTGGACTTTGTGTTTGCCGTCGTTGAGATAGACTGGATGAAAATTCTTTGATTCTAAATTTGCCACATTCCCATTAGCTAATAGTGCTGTGCTGCACTCAGGCAGATAAGAATCTGTGTAAACACAGAAACTGCATCCAAACTTTCTACCACAGCCGAGCCATTTTCCCTCATTTTTAGGGAGGCTCAAAATACATACTGAGTTGGACAAAAAGAGACAGAGGCTGACAGGATTATTACATAGACCACAGTGAAACTGGGATAATGAGCTAGGAAGCTGTGGTGCCAAAACATATGGTCAAAACATTACAAAACAAAACATGGATTTTGTACACAAAATGGCAGGGAAATTATGTGTTAAAACCAAACAGGAAATGACAGAAAACCCACTGCTTTGAAAGGCAAGAATTTAGCACAGAGCTGAGCATACCATGTTGAAGGAGTGAGCTCTTATGTGCTTCACAATTACAGAAGAGGCCAAAGAGATGCTCCATTCTGCTTTGGGATCGTCTGGAAGTTTTCTGGAGGCAAAGAAAGAGACTTTGGTCATCTAAAAGTGTTTTCACTGAGATACAGGACTCGCTGTGTCTGCACTGTAGCCTCAATGTAACTGAAAGGCAAGAAATTTCTACACAACATGAGCATGCTGGGTGTTTCTCTGGCTGATCTTATTCCTTTCCCAGCAACAGATTTCTGCACAGTGTAGATTTAACCAAGAAACTGAAAAAGGACTGTTGTGGAATGCAAACATGAGGGATCACTGCGATGTCTGGGGGTTAAGGGTCGGAAGGCCCTTAGCATCATGTTCATCTGAAACTACAGCCTGGAGACAACACGGAGCAAACATCAAACATCAAACTTGGCCAGCCCAGGCTCTCTGCCTACTAAACATGCATAGGCTCCCTTTTTTGGCAGAAATAATAACGGATTTATTTTCTCAGTTTACAAAATAAAAGCATTGCTTTCTATGGTTTCTCCCATTGCACTTATCAGAAACTAGCCACAAAACATAAAAGGGAGAGAACTGTTAAAAACCTACTCAGACAGACCAACACAGTTTACATAAAAGACAAAGTCCCGAGGGTTGCATTTCAAGTGGATCGGATTCAGTTTGTTTACATTCATTTCTCTGCTTTATGTTGAACAAAAACACAACCAACAAAAGGAAACTGGCCTGACTTGCAGGAAAGTTTGAAATACCAAACTGTGGGGGTCTAGGTTTGACAAGATAGGAGAAGGGGAAATAGAGAGACCAATGACGTGCCATGTTGTTGTACACTTAGGGTAGCACATGGATGGCGAGAGTGACAATGCATGCATGTATGTTTACATATATAAGTGCCTAAAGTGGGGGTAGGTGTGGGGGAGTGTCAACAGTTGTTCCCCTCCCCTTTGTTGCTAACAATGAGCCAGGACAGTTGAGCTAGTAGAGGGAAGTGATGGATTAGGCCACAAATTCACTGGCTGCTAGTGATGTGAGGGCCAAGCTTTGGGGGTCAGCTATGTCACAGGGAGGAGGGGTGGAGGGTCGGGGGTTCAGAGGTAGTTGAAAACTGTCAATGTGTGAATGCTTTCCTGTGACACTGTGTTTTCTTTTTTTCAGTAGGATGGCACTGTGATATTGAATCTTAATGATGTTAAATGCTGCCTAAATGAATGAAAGACCAGCCTAATGTCATTTTTCTGGATTTTGTGAGTTTGGCCAAAGTGCAGGAATAAGTATAGGAATATCATACTGAGTTCACAGCTTGGCTACACTCTAGCACTATCTGTGTTTTTAATGTTACATTTTCTTTCCTTACTGTTGCATTTATTCATTTCTTATTTTAGACATTTGACAACTGCAGCTAAGCACAAGCAAAGGGGGAATAACAAAAGATATAAGACACCTGACCTTTCTCTAGCAAGATGCAGGCTGAGTGTCAGCTTTGCCATGGCAACAGTGCAAAATGTCCTAAAGTAACCTCCACAGCTCCCCCTTTGTAGTTTTGCTTGTGGATGTCTAATTGCTTGCAGGCATCTGTATGCAGTTGTTGAACTTTGGCCCAGTAACGGGATTTTGTGTGTGTGTGTGTGTGAGTGTGTGAGAGAGAGAGAGAGAGAGAGAGAGAGAGAGAGAGAGAGAGAGAGAGAGAGAGAGAGAGAGAGAGAGAGAGAGAGAGAGAGAGAGAGAGAGAGAGAGAGAGAGAGAGAGAGAGAGAGAGAGAGAGAGAGAGAGAGAGAAAAGGAAAAGAGAGAGGGGGGGGGCTTGTTTAGTCTGGTCACATGAACCACAGCCCTGTGAAACTGCCAGACTTCTGTCCACACAGTCAGATTATATGTCCTGCTGGGAACGGCCAAGATGCCACTACAAACTGACAGAACAGCCACACTATCCCAGTGTAATAAGGCAGTTACAACTATAGTAACAACATGGTGTTTCACAATAATTCAGAGAAATTTGTGGTTGCAGGTTTTGCCAATATTCACTCGTGTTTGAATAAACTGTCATGAAAATAACCATGGAAATAATGCTGTTGTTTTGAAAGTAAGTTGTGCAGAAAAAGAGCAATCTAATGTGACAAAATTACAGTTAGTTGCTCAGTAAATGGAAAAAGTAAAGTTTGACTATGCAGAGGCCAGTGTGTGCCGGTGACAAATGTATCTGGGATAAAAGCACAGCCACCACTATTTACCACTCCTTGCCATGTCCTTATAATTCAGCAAGGGATATTTTTACCACTGATCAATGTATATTTAAACCATGTGGGATAGGGTGCTACTGCAGCGAATGTGGCCTGACTTTCCAATCTAGTGCTGAGCTCTTAGTTTACATTCATACAGAGAATTACACTTTTGAAGTCAAAAACAAGAAATTATTATAAATTATAAAAATTAACTTCTGAGTAGATTTATTTAACTAATGTAAATCTAAAGTATGTTATCACGGACACAATCAAATTGTTAAAGTTGAAGAGGTGCATGAGACAGAGAGTTGCTTCAGTACAGTCTGATGGATAATGTAATAGAGAAGTGGAATCGTTGGATTTGTGCAGTGAGGAGCTATAATCGAGAACAGGGAGCAGACAGAGGTCAAGCCAGTGCAAGTAGAGAGGCAGCAGAGCGTGCTCAGATCGAGCTTGATCACAAAGGCCCCAACATGCACTGGGGCCCCAGATACTGTCAACACAGCTGTCCTATTCAGTGAGCATTAAAGAGAAAATCCTATTTTAAAACAGAATTCACGTGTCATTCCAGTTATTCCATAGGGTATAGTTAAAAGTAAAGTCTCAACCAGATCTGTTGCCATGAAACAAAAATCCAGTGGACCCAGTTCATCACACAAACCTGATGAATGAGATGATAGTACATAGACACAATGTGAATTAAAGGTGCTCGGTGAGGTTTTGTTGCAAACAAACAAAAGTCATGTTTACATTCAGTTTTACTCACCAAAAAGCATTGTGTATATCCTTGAGCTCTAACAAATGTGTCAAATGCATTTCCTTCATCATAAAACATTTTAAATCCAGCATGGTTTACATCTATTTTAACTTGCTAGCATTCTTCCTCTACATGGGCTTTGCTGGCACACTGCTGCATATCTTGGCGTGTTATCTTCACCTATGGATCAGTGGAATATTTTGAAACCATTCACAGGAATGTGTCTCTCGTCACCTGCGTCCTTGTGTGCATGAGATAAACAAAACAGGAACCCCCTCATAGAAACAGCTCTATACCACTACTAGGACTCAAAAACTCCACAGGGAACCTTTAATTTGTATTACAAGATGATTTGCATTGTAATTGGTCATAAGAATACACTGCCAGGATTCAATTCATTTGAACCAAGAAGTTTCATTAAAATAACAAAACATATAACTGACAAGGCTGATTTTCCAAGGCACAGCACACTTCCTGGTTTGTGTTTGCATTACAAAGAACTCCAACTTGGCATGCAAACTCAAGGCAAATATTTTGAGCCCACAAACTCTGAGGATCTGCTCCAGGTGTAGTCCTTTGACAGCATCACATAAAAAGCTCAATCCTTGAGCCAGCGGTCTCATTTTCATAGCTATTGTGTTTGTTTTAGGCTTGACATGATCTCTAAAGACTTGACTGAAAGCCTTCGAAACACTAGAGATTTGTCTGGAGATCAGTACTGTAACTACTGTATATGAACTACTCTCTCTTCCAGTCATCATCGTCTAACCCATTATCCATCTAAGAACGCTGCATGAGTTTGTAGGAAAACCACACAAACACTATTTTAGTCTCTGTAGTTCTATACAACTGTCATTTCCCAAACCACTGAAGCTTACTGAACCATTGTTTCACAGCTGCAAAAACAGCATATGTCATGATATGCTTACTATGTGGATCCACATGCATCCATATTTTTCTCTATATCCTCAGCTTGGCAGGTTAATACAACCAAAGTAGTTGCTTTACAATCATTTTGTCTAACACTGCGACTATGATGTACAAGCTATTTCAGAAATTCATGGACCTTGAATCATTTGTCCAGAGCTCACACAACAATAATGAAAAGTCTCAGTGCCACAATACATGGCATGGACTGGTGGTAAAAGATGCAAAAAATGATTGCTGTTAACATTAATACTTTGGAGAAGACTAATATGGAATTATACAATACATGAAATCACTCACTCCATTTCTGAGTGAATGGTGACTGGATCTTTAATTTTAGTGTTGATTGAATTTTTGAGAGTTTTAATTGACATATTCTTATATTTTGTACATCCGATCTATATGAATGAGCATAAACACAAACGCCATTCAGTATAATGCAAGACATTTCCACACCAACCCAAATTACAGCCTACAGTTTAAACAAAACCTGATTGTTATAACCCTCTTGCAGGTAGGAATTATTGCAGGGCTATTGTACTTGACTGCATTTGTTTTAGCTTGGTATCCAATAAACTGGCAACAGAGTGCAAATGGTCAAATCAAACTGATAAGATGCATAGGGATTTTGTTTTTATTCAACTGTTCTAGTTTCTATTCTATTTGAAAAACACACCTATTTTTGCACTGCATCTTTGTGCACAATAAAAATGACCAGTGAGAAAAACAGGGAGAGGTCAAGTCAAGGATGTACATCTGCACATACTTGGGCAGAGAAGGTTAAGAGCAAAGCCAAAGTGTGGCTATCCACATACAGACACACAAAGAGAAAAACAGTTTAGAATGACCTACATTAGCGGTGCTCAGAGCATTGCCAAAATGTATCCCACAGTCCTTGGCAGTTGGCTTCAGCAGACATGGACAAGAGGAGGAGGAGGGGTAGAACAGAGGGAGAGACCAGTGGGGGCGAGAGAGAGAGCTTGGTTGTGAGTGAGTGGGGCTCTCAAAGTGCTGATTAGGTGTGTGTTTTGGGCAAACAACAGAATACACAGAAAGGGAAAATGGGCTACACTCCAGTTCAGCAGAAGTGCAGACAGCACTATGATCAAAGTTCAGCTGTATTCTGTGTGCACAAGATGATAAAATGGTGAAGTCTGTGAGAAATGTTCTCTAAGGCAGACAACCTGGGCAGGCTGCCAGTGTATTACTGTGAGTTCCAGGTTAGTGCCAGAGTTCATACAGCTCTCCTGGTGAGCCAACATGTAGAGACTCACATGTAGGCAGCTCGGAGGTTCTTAGAAACTCAAAACATTTTCAAGGGAAGCTGCAGGGTTGATCCACAGGGGGAAAAAAATCTTTTCAACATCACCTTTTACCACTACTTTCTCTGTAACTTGACCTTGCCAATAGCCAGAGCCAGGAGACTGAAAGTCATACAGCTGCATCAACAACAAAATAAAACAGAATGAGTTTCACAAAAATGTGGAAAACAACGCAGTTCGAAGTTCTGGCCCACAGTTCTGCTCCCCAATGTGAAATGACAATGGTAATGAGTGAAGTCTATTTTAACAGCCATACTGAAGGAGCTATAGCTGTTTCTATACATCATTTATGGCACTCTATGATGACAAATACAAATATTTTATTCAGTAAAGTGATGCATTTTCATTTGCTGTCAAAAAGTCTATAGTACCCTAGGATGAATGAGAGGTAGCAAACAAAAGAGAAAATTTGTCTTTGAGCTGCCATGTTCCTGCAACAAAACCAGAGTGTGCAACTATTTTCGTAGCATTAATTTCCCCTCAGAGCTCCACAAGAAATTGTTGGTGAAGCACTGATACAGAGAGGCACCCTTAATTTCATCCTCTACCTTGGAGAAACAAGGTAGATGTTTTCTAATACAAGAAACACTAATAAAGGTGAACTGACACTTTGGTATGCAACCCAAAATTGACCCCAAAAAGTTACCATGAGGCTTGTTTTTAGCAAATCTGAGCTACCTAGCTCAGGGGCTTCTCATGATTGAGGGCCTGTTTTTGGGTCGCACCAAACTATATAGCAATTTAACGAAGCAGTGAAGAGGATAACAACGTGATTTAGTTACTAGGCAATTTCCTCCTAAAACATAATATTAACCAGCCCCATAGTCATCCAAATGTACCAAATTTCCTCGTAGGGATCGTTGACATTGACTAAACAATTATGACTTTTCAAGTTCACAGGTTGATAAGACTACTGAGAGCATACAAATATTTACAAACGTGCAAACATTACAGGCAAAATCAAATATAGTTCCACTTAGACTATTAAAAAACAACTAAATTATAAAAAAAAGTTAATAACATAAAATAAGTTAGTAAACAAAATTGAATTACAATTTCAAAACTTACTTAACTATTCTTAAATGTAGATTGATGGCAGTTTGGAATTGCCCACAGGGCAGACCTTTCACTGCCTCTGAGGCCTACATATTTATTCTCCCTTTGACACAGAGGTAATACGTCAGACCGGGCTAGATCAGCTCACAATGGATGGTGTGATTTGTGGTCAACTCTCTATTTGTTCTGATAGACACTGCATGGTGGGGAGGGGTATGACGGGCTTCAAAAAGGCAGACAGGCTACTTGACTACTGCACGATCGGCAGCACACATATATTGTGTTAAGTGATATTTTTATCCTAACAATTAGCCTCAGTTTGAAATCATATTCAGAGTCAGCAATGGACATATACAGAAACAACATGTTTAACACACAAATATAAATATTCAAAAGAGCAAATGCTAACAAGCCAACACCAACTCAGTGTTTTCACCATTAAAAGACATAACAGAAATGTTCTGCGTGTTGTGTGTTTGGTGCAGACGGCTGCTTACTTATGGTCTACTATGGTGATTCTGGAGTCTGGTATCCCCAACATGGCACAGCTGTTGAGAAGTTCTTGTTTACGCTGAGATCCTTGATTGTAGTAGTTTCCTGTATAATATTTGGAGGACAAATTAGGCTATAGATCTACGGCAATGAAAGAAAAATCTAAATACAAGTATAAATTGTGTCAGTAGATTCTGTATCAGTGCAAACTGAAACATTGTCAATGATTCTGAAATATCATATTTCCTGTAGTTGATGCAATAATGGTCCTCTAACGTCAAATAAATTGAATCTAAATTAAATACATTGCTGCACAGATACAAAAAATGTTTAATTCATGTTTATTATAGTTAGGACTAATGCAATGCCACATTTTGATAATTCAGTGGGTTGTGTGACAAAGGTTTTACTTTTTAAATATTTCATTTGTACTTCAATGTTTTTATGAGGCTCATAATTTGAAGTGAGAGCACATTAGATCATCCAAGAAGCTCCTGTATATTTTGGTTTAAGAAGATGGACACAAACGTTGTAGGGCATTTTCAAAAGCTAGTTGCTGTTGAAAACCCTGGGACTCAAATGTGTTATTTCTCACCCTTGACTTTCATATTTTACCTAAAATTCAACAACTCTACGCCTTATGAAATCTTTCTGATCTCCACTAGAAAAAGGTAAAGCTGGTAAAATAACATCAATCAACTTCCTAAATCTTGGCTGTTTGTTATGTGGACACAACATAGTTAATATAATTTTAAGAGAGCTTGTTTTCAGCAGTCATATGACAGCACCACATTTTTCAATTTTAAATATGCGCTCAAATGCACCTGATCTGTCAGTATAATGCTGATGTCAGTGATTTAGTCAGACACAGTCGTTTTAGTCTTTGCAATCATTCTTAAACCTGAGACTGATAACAGAAATGTTGTGTTTGTGATTTTTTGCTCAATAATTGACAAAGCCACCAAACTGTTTTTGAGAGAGCATCCTATTTCCCTTTCCTAAAGGCAATATTATTATTTATGTTTTGCTATATTTTTCTATTTTTCTTGAGTAAATCATGTAACTAAAACTAGCTAACGTTAGTTAGCAGCATGCCACGTGATTAATAACTATTTCTCTATAACTTTACATTGACTTAATAACGTTATTAATGCAAACAATAGTGTCCTGTCACCGTACCTTCAGATAAACACAGCAAATGAACGCTGGCATTTAATTCAACGAGCCGTATAATCGTTGGCGCGAAGAACATACATTCATCATCCGGATGTGCAGTTACGACCAGAGCTCTGATGTCAGCGCCGTTTGTTTCTTTGCTTGATAAAATGTTCATTACATGTTTCAACGACTTCACCAAAGTTCGTCGATGCCAATAGTAAATGCATTTTATCCAAACCAGATAGGCTAAAACAATAAAGACCGCCAGGTAAACACTCATTATTTTGACCGTTACAGAAAACTATTCGTGTGAAGACAAATGTCTAACATGCAAATGGTTCCGCGTGTAAAAAAACATACAGGCTTTCTAATATTTAACGTTATCATTTTAAAGAATGCAATTATGCAGTATCATGGATCCAACAAAGCAATAGCTGCCCACTTTTAGCCCCACAGTAGAACGTTTTACTATCTTCACATTCACAATCGCTTTCTCGGGTCATTTGAGTTTACATCAACTTTTTAGGAGAACAAATACATGATTATGATACAGAATAATTTTCTAACGTGTTTGAATAAGGAGGTCCTGAGACACGTGGAAGAAAGTAACATAAATCAAACGAAATTTGTGTTTTTGAAAAGTGAAAATTACAAACACCAGCAACATTACCGTGTTTGAGGGGGCGATTTAGCTGTAACACCGCATTATCCTTGCAGGTATATAAAAATCAAAATTAAAATGTTTAATATATATCAAAAGAGTGACATAACAGCCCACTTACTTTGTAAATACGCAAATTACAATTGTCTTTGTACATACACATTTGTTGAGGAATGCCAGTACCCCGAGGACTCAACCAAGTAGGGACACTTTATTTTACCCTATCAGGACATGGACCGACAAATGCGACGCAGCCTTCAGTCTGCCCAGTCGCCCACAGCTCATAACCCGCGGATTTACAATCAACAATTGACACATAATTCTGCCCAGGGATACCTTTCTGTGCCATCGGTATATTTTGTAAATATGGGGTGAGTACAAAGCGCTAATATGCAGCAAAGCAACATGTCTAATTAGCACGCTATTTAAGTACCCCGGTCTACGCTGAAAATCTGCCTTGCAAGATGGCGACGTGGTTGGGAATTCAAAGGTGAAATACAGGCTAAGTTAGCTAGCTAACAACAACATCTTAAACGTTGCTTTACCGCGCTGAAGTGCCAAAGCAACATATACTTCTGCGTAGACGTTTATTATTGTGCATGCTTTTAGTTGCATTTCCTTAAAAGCTCCCTGTTGTGGAAATACACCCATCCCCCAAGATGAGCTACAAATCCAATTGCGTTTATGACAGTATGATGTTAAAAGACAATAACAACACACAGCAGCAGTATTTCTCACTGCTTGGCTGTGTATGAGGCCACGAAGGTCACCATGGCCGCTGGGTTTGCATAGAAATGATCACAGAGACCACTGTAAATGCTTTCTAAAATTGACTTTACCAAGAACTTCACAGTGAAACGACGAAAGCTGACTAAGGCAGTGTGATCTTTATAACCTGAAGCTGCACGCCTCTACTCTTAAAATGCTCTCTAAACCACGTCGGAAAATACAATAAAAATCTGTTGAAATGGAAACGACAGATGAAGGGGAACACCCAGGGGCTAAAGTACTGTAGCCACAGTTTCTCTTTATATAGCCTACATTGATGCTGCATGTTAAAAGAGATGAATCAGGGGTACAGCTGAAATTGTATTTCAGTTAATAAATGATTCCCATCCTGGATTTCATTGCAGGCTAATTTTATTACAAAACAAACTGAAATCAGGTTAGGGATAGTCAGGTCACTAACCAGTGCTGCAACAGCTGATTCTGATGGTAAGCAGGCATTAATATAATGCTGCTTACTCTTTGAATTATAAAAAAGATTCAGGGATTTAATGTCTTGCTAAACAGGCTTGACCCCAGGGAGTCAGTTTGTCTTCTTTTTTTCCCACTGTGAGCACAGAGGGACAAATAATGTGTTTGTAATACTTGGAGCAAAATTGTACAAGATTATTGTAGAAGGACATGACAAAATCTGCCCCAAATTGGTGGGGTGTATCTACTCAACCTAGGTTTGAGTTGACAATGTAGGAGCAAATTAAATTAAGTTTAGAAAAACGGAACAGTAAAAGTAAAACACAAAAGGTGGTTGTAATATCTTGAGGCTGCTGGGAGCACTTTGAGAGGTTTTCTGTTGTTTCATTGTCTCTTCACATTGTGACATGTATTTCTGCCTCTTAAATTTGAGGATTTCTTTCGAGCTGATTTGTTAGTTTGGTTCAACGCCAAATGGTACTGCTGAAAATAAAACTTTGCCTCATTTACTTTTAATAACCAGATTCACTACCAGTCCAGTGCTGGCTTTGTATAGAAGACAGGAGACATATCAACCCTGTTTACCGCTGCTATGGTTTATAAATGTATCATTCAAAGTCATGTCATTTTAAATAGGAAGTGGTAAATGTATAAATAGCTCTTTTAGTTAATGGTAAAACCTGAACATTTACCAGCTGCATTATCTGCGGACTGTGTCTTTTTTTTTTTTGTTACACAGATGATATTTTTAGTATAATTTCTGAAATTGTGTAAGTGAATCTCGAATTCTGGGACCCAGTGCACTCTGTGGCATGCGGATTGAAAAAATAAAATAACAGTTTCCCGTCCTGGTTATGGTGGCAGTGGTTGTAGCTTTTCCACCCAGGAAGTTGGCGTCATAATGTCTTGGCATGGTGGTCAAGCTGTAAATCTTCCAGACCTAGAATAAAAATGATGGAACAAGCAGGACACAGATTCATACAGTGGATCCCTATGAAGAATGACAAAAGGAGCCAAACAAAATCCACTGATGTCACAACACGCAGACTTTTCCTGTGTCTGTGTTTGGTTTTTGCTACACATAAATAATTGAAATTGTTCAGTTGCAAAGTACTGGGATGTCAGATGTGTACGCTTTTTTTATTTAGATAACAGACATTCTTCAAAAAGCATTACCGTGCTTCATGGCACTGTCCTGCATCCTGTTCTTTGTATGTTGCTTAACTGATCTAGGCTAACATGATGTTAAGCAGCTAAAATAAACCTGCTAATTTAATGTTTGTTTAAATACAACTTTTGCTTTTTTAATCTTGCATATAGTTAAAATAGATAACAATGGGGTGACATGAGTGGAATTTAGAAAACCATAATCACTGCTGATATGATTGGTTGGCACATGGAGATGTGCTCTTTACCAGTTATTTAATATCTGAGGAATGTTTAAAATCTAAAAATTATTATAACTATGAAGTGACACACCCTTCCAGTCCCTTTCAATAAACAACATATTGTTTTTTAGAAGAGATTAAAGTGCATGAACAATTGATTTTAAATAATTTGCTATCATGTTTCATGTGTAAAATGCGTTAAAACTTTGAAAAATCTTTTTTTCATTAGAAGTACATTCATATGCAGATAAGGTTAAGGCAACTAAAACTACTTCGTTAAGGTTTGGGAAGATCTAAATGCTCAATGAACAGTGACAACAGTGCTAAAAGAAATTTAGACCATTAAAAAAAACAAAATATTCCAGGCTAACAAATCATGAACAATCAAATAAAGCTACCTCAGTTTTTTTTTTTTTTTTTTTTTTTTTTTTTTTTTGGAAGAACAGGATCCTGATCCTTCCATCCACAGTAATACTGTGTTGATGTTTTCCAGAGCTGCAGCTGCACAGTAGTCTTTTTATTTTTTTTTTAATGCGCTAGTTGTTCCAAGATCATCCTTGCACTTCTGGCTTAAATACCTGTACTTGTATTAACGGACGTGCAAGGATGGATTTGGATTCTGATTTTATTACCTGCACTGGCAGCAAGAGGTGATATCAACAGGGCAGTGCTTGAGGCCGATACTCGGCAACGCAGAAACACAGAAATATTTGAGAAAAGAGGGATGAAAGGTGATGGATTGCGCTACCTTTCTTGGTCAAATAAGATCAGTGTTTTAAACAACATACTCTCATCAAGATTTGTGGCATTTCCCACTGTTGCTTCTAGTGTTTATGTAGTGCATATTAACTTTATAGCACACTATATACTCAATAGACCACACTTTCTGTCTGATGCTCTCAGAATGCTGTATATTGTTTTGACAGTACCACCTAATATATCTAACTTCATCTTAGTCAACTGATTCTCTTCTTACATTTTCTCATATAATACATTTAATATTCTTGGATATATTCATCCTAATGCTTAAGATGTAAAATCTATTTTGTGTTTCTGTCTTGGTGCAGGTGGTTTGTGTATCCTACCATGGTCTAGCTACAATCTCTGATTCGTGAAGCAGCAGCAGCCCGCTAGCACTGAGCCAGGATGTCCAGTAGCTCGGGCTACCCTCCCAGTCAGGGGAGCTTCAGCAGCGAGCAGAGCAGATACCCACCACATTCTGTCCAGTACACCTTTACCGGCACGCGCCACCAACAGGTGAAACCTTCCCTCTGTATTGTATTTGAGCCAACAGTTACATTTGTTGTACTGGGGTCAGCACTCTCGATACTGTCGGCTTTTACATGTTGACTCTTCTACAATGCTTTACAGCGAAAATGGTGAGAAACCACTTCATGGGACCTGAAATCTGAAGTTTTGCTCGAGGTTTTCTGCTGAGTGGCAGGTTATAAAGAAGATATAAAGAATCGAAACTATGTAACTGTATTACAATTAGCAGTTAGTTAAACCTGGGTTGGCGGTTAATATGAATAGGTAACGTGTGTCTGCGCACCTCTTCACAACAGATTTGCAGCTTCACACAGAAAACAAGTTGGAGGCCGCGTGTTTGGTGCGGCTTTAGCTTAAGGGCTCTCAGTTGCCAGAATTTGTCACTATGTAGACAACCAACAAGTGAAATGTCACTGATTTTTCGATGACTTGCTTGCCGTGGTTGCATTAGTATTCTTTTTTATTGAATCTGGTTTTACAAATATTTGAACTCAAATAAGACGTGCATTTTTATGTGAAGAAAGAAATTTTACTTGTACATTTCAGGCATGTTCATAGGTTTATGTGAACTGTAACATAAGAGATTTGTCAAATTAAGATGAATAAATAATAATGATAATCATGGTCTCAATACTGAACACAGTATTCAGTTCAGTCACATCTCTATAAAGTTTGTAGTATTTAATTTCAGCTCAATTTCCAGTTGCATGGTCATTTGATTGTTGTGAATATTGGATAATGTTTGTTTTTGGATGACATACTACTTAGAAGCTTACTTTCACAGAAAAC